AGCGTACAACGGTTGAAACGTTGTAATAAATATAGCGACAAAGATGAGGACAATAGTCCGAATAATGTAAATAAGCACATTTAAATTTAACTTTAATGTTTGTGGAATATTTTTTATTTTATCATTTTATCAAAAGCAGGGTCATAATGCCGCTAAACCGGGGCTACTAAAAGTGAAAAAGAATTATAAAACTTTAGTGAGTAGAAAGGACAATAATGTAACAGGAGACAATAAGATTGGATATGGAAATTGACGTTGCATTTAATTTTGTGAAGATTAAAGGTGACAGTGACGCAATGAAGCCGAAACAGATTTCTACAGGCAAGAAGTTCCCAAGAAGAAACTTTTAGAGCAGAACGTACGATTATATATAAATATTTCAAAGGTAAAACCTAATAGAAATACGTCTAAATTCATCGGATTGATGTACCAAGGAGAAGAGCAATATTTATTTTTGCTTAACTACAGAAAATGTGACCCACGGCCAAAATGGGAGATGGGAGAAAAGGACGGTCTTCATCTGTCTTAACTTTAAACTTAGCTAGCCACAAACACTGACCCAAACATACAATATTCCTAGCACCAAAACATCGCCTTCTTACTTACCTTTCTTAATACACCCTACATAATACCTCATTGTCTCTATGAATGTCCTAACTAGTCCCCATATATACAATTCATTGTCTGTGGGGGAGGAAAATAAAAACAACAATTTAAAAACTAACCCCTATGTGTATATACAATATGAAAAGAAAAAACTTTTTACAAGAAACAAAACAAAATAATGTTAATAATAAACAATCCCTAAATGTGACAGAAACATCAGTTCACAAGACGAAATCAATGCGTGACTTTAATAATATAAAACAATAATTCGTCCTAAGCATTCAATCAAACAAGGAGGAGAGCGATATTTATTTATATAATATACAGAAAATGTAACACAAGGCCATAAATGGAGAATGGGGAAAAGGGCGGTCTTAACTTTAAACTTAACTAGTCACAAACACTGGCCCCAAAATACAACAATATTCCTTACACCAAAACAATTTTACATTTCTTGCTACATCCACCAAAATACAACAATGTCTCCATGAAAATCCTAACTAGTGTTTATATACACCATTCATTGTTTGTGGGAAGAGGGAAATAAAAAACAAGGAAAAGAGCTTATTAGAAGGATTGCTATGCCAACGTCACGTCGGTGGGAAAGGAATTAAAGCTGAGATGCCATGTCAGGACCCATAACATAGCAGACCTTTTAGAATTCGCCGAGAATCTTGTGATAGATAGCAAGAGTCCCATTTTGAGCCATTGGCCCTCGGCATAAAGGAGAACCGAGTTTTGGTATAGGTGATGATTTCTTGTCTCCCATGTTTTTTTTTACCGCGGCCTTTTTTTTTTTTTTGCCTTGTCTAGTTCTTTTTTCTCGCCATTGCTTTTCTTTTTTGTCTTCTTTTATCAACATTATTTTTATTTCTCACAGACTTGATATCTTCTTCTTCTTCTTCTTCTTCTTCTTCTTCTTCTTCTTCTTCTTCTTCTTCTGTTGGCATGTTTCCTTCTTTCTTTCACAATATTCTTCTTTTCCCTTTCTTTCCCCACCTCTCTTGAAATATGTATTGGCATTTTTGTTCGTTCTTTCTTTCTTTCTTTCTTTCTTTCTTTCTTTCTTTCTTTTGCAATATTCTATTCGCTTTCCTTCTCCTTCTTATATTAACTTTCTTTCTTCGTTTCTGTTTGTTTGTTTGTCTCGTTCTTTCTTTCTTTCTTTCTTTCTTTCTTTCTTTCTTTCTTTCACAACCTTCTTCTTTTCACTTTCTTTATCTCCTGTGTTGAAATATTTATTGGTATCGTCTTTGTTTGTTTGTTTCTTTCTTTCAAAATCTTCTTTGAACTTTCTTTTACTCTTTGGGGACATATTTATTGGTATCTTTCTTTCTTTCTTTTTTTCTTTCTTTCTTTCTTTCTTTCTTTCTTTCTTTCACAATCTTCTTCTTTTCCCTTTCCCCACCTCTCTTGAAATATGTGTTGGCATTTTCCGTTCTTTCTTTCTTTCTTTCTTTCTTTCTTTCTTTCTTTCTTTCGTTCTTTCTTTCTTTCTTTCTCCATTTTCTTATTTGCTTTCTTTTTTCCTTCACAGTTTATCATTTCATTGATAGTTATTGTTATTGCTGTAGTTGTTGCTCTTCTTCTTCTTCTTATTCTTCTTCTTCTTCTTCTTATTCTTCTTCTTCTTCTTCTTCTTTACCTTGTTCTGTCTATTCTTTCCTCTTTCCCCAACCCCTCACTCTTTATCATTTCTCGTTTCATTTACAATATCTTCTTCTCCTTCTTCTCCCAATCACCCTCTCTGTCTTCAACACAATCTCCAATTCAATCCAATACGCTTCGCACTCTCACCGTCACTATTATTATAAGGCATTCACTTTCATCAACCAATGTTATTGAATTAAACTCGTTCACTAATAGGCTTCGCAATTTCTCCAAACTTTCTTGA